TGCGGTCATCACCCGGTCTCTTTGTCATTTTCCCAGAGTTTTCTCTCTCTCTCTCTCTTGGTGCGCGTACACGGGATTTAAACTCGAACGCACTCTGGTTTTGATAAGCTATAGAGATATCATGTGTACCTATATTGCGATAGAGAGGAACATCACCGTGCACTTTCGCCCCTCGTAACTGCATCGGAAGCGAGTGTATTATAGGTACTGTATATGGGTACAATCGTTTCACTTTTGATTACCGATCCCCTTGCGATTCGCACGGAAAAGCTCTTTCCCCCTCTCCCCCACACACTTTTATGTATAGTACTTCAATCAAATTATACTTTGGTACCGATAAAAATTGAAAAGATCGGTAAACCGATCTGCCGATCTCGGGGAACTATCTCTGAACGCGTGACGTAAAAAATCGTTATAAATTTCTCACGCCCCTGTACCGATATAAGTCCTTCCTATATATAAGTACCCTTTGGAGCTTTTAATAGTGCCGGTGCAATGTGCTTCCGCACGTTTTGACTCGCGTTGTGCACGTGACCAGGTTTCGCGCACGTGATACGCAGCCTGCGTGACCGTTATAATTTTAACGAAACGGCACGATTATTATCATCATCATTCGATCGTAGCAATGTTTTTTTTGTTTTTTTTTTTTTATTAACAACACTGTTGCTTCTCCGGGTGTTTTGACCCACGGAGCCTCGTTACTGCTTCGGCGCTGCCGATACGTGTACTTACACCGAGAGGCGGGTCCAAAAAAGAGTATGGGGGCACACAGATTCTCCTCTCTCTCTCTCTCTCTCTCTCTCTGCATGCCGCGTACTTTCTCTCTTATTAGGCGTACTTACCTCTTGGTATGTATGTACGTATGTATATGTATGTGGGTATACCAGGCGAAAGACGAAAATGAAAGTGCACTTGGGATTCTTTCGAGAAAAAGCATCCGCAACTCTGGGCGAGTGTATAATACATAGGCCTACGTGATTCTTCGGTATATATACACAGGTGTATTTTGTGTCAATACGCCGACATCCTGTTATAGATGAAACATTTTATTTCAAGATGAATAAAAGAAAGTATATATGTATATATATTTAACATTAAAAGCGCGTATGTGGGCTCTTCTCTCCTTATTATTGATTTTTATTTATTGAAAAATTTGCGTACACACCATATTATATTACAAAGGTATGCGCGCGCGTGTGGGGGCAAACGTTTTCCTGGATTGGAAAAAAAAATAATAATAATAATAAATGGAGAAAATTTCTCGAATAACTTGTACTTGGCTCGTTTTGCTCTCTGTATTCATTTTAGCGGTGAATTACGAGTGAATTAATTTCACCTGCGGCGTACTCGCATCAATTAGGCAAACGCAAATGAGGAATCAATTGAAAATCCCATGCGGTAAATCAAGACTTTAATTACAAGAGGAGTGTATCTCAAAGAAACACGATAGATCGGAAAGTTTAGACTAATACTCCGGTGCACGGGGTAAACAAGATGATTAAAGAGAAAGAATCGAGCGGAGATCTTTGATGAGCAAATTTTCGGCATACTCAGTATGGAGAAAAGATAACGCCCATACCGATGCCGAGTTTGTGTGTATGTTAATGATTGAGTGTATCGGTAACGCGTGTTGATTTGCTTGTATGGAATAAAGTTGATTAACAACCATAGGAGCGAATATATATCCATATGTACCCTATATAGCGATGGAGAGACGAAATCGCGCTTCTCTCTGAACTCCCAAGTGCGCACGAGTCTTTCGCAGCCTTGGCTACGAGAAAAATGTGGCTAAGCAGATGTGAGAAGAAAGTGCTCGTGACGCGCGCAATTTTTGCAAGAAAAGTCGTAAGTACGAGTGCGTATACGTACCCACACGCATACCTCGACCAAGTATTATACGTATACGTACAAAAGAGTCAATATATAGGGAAAAGTGCCATTTCCGATTTTCTTTTCGTTTTTGTTTCGTCCGTCTCGCTGAAATTCTCACGCTATGTGCATAGCACTCGGGATGTAATGTTTTCGGTCCTCCCGGCACTTTGTACCTAATATAGACGTACGTGTATAATACGTTTACGTGCGCGCTCCGAGGCGAATGGCAATTATCGATGATTGAAGTTTAAGTAACTGTTGTTGTTTCGCTGCAGGGATAATACATATATATATATGTGTATATTACAGTCTCCGGCATACCACGCATGTGTATATTGTTTCGGAGGATTAGCTGTTTTTTCTTTCTTTGTTTTTCTCAAGTCGCGCCTTTTCGTACGTTATTACGTATTAGCGTATACCATCATCCGTGACAGTGAGCGGGAAAATGTGTGTGTTTTTTTGTTACTCCAAAATGAAAGAAAAAACATAAACACAATACTTGTATGATATTATACACACGCCCGTGGATCGGAGGATTTTTATTTTATTAACGGGTGCCGGCTGTAAGTACACCTGCGGGTTCAATTTGGATTCATGAATTTCGGAAAACAATAATACCGTCGGGCTTTGACGTCTGAGGGGTCCGTTCCCATACGATGAGTGAAACAGAGAGGCGCTTAACATTATTATGTATATGCGGTATGGTGTCACGTCTGGGCTACTTTTAACATCCGTTTGTGTACGTGGGCACATTCCTGCGGATTATTCCCAAGCGAGTCAAATTTTCCTTTGGCCCCCCAGGAATGTGGAAGAGAAAAAGAATAACAGTCGAGCTAAACAACGCTTTCTCTACACAGTTCGGTCCTTCAAAAGTCTTTTTTTCCTTTCAAAGGTACCTCACGCGCGTATACACCCACTCGAGCGTGTGTATACATGTATATACATCAAGTGCGTGTATTATAAATGTTGTAACGACTCTTTGAGAATCCGATTTATCATGTATCTCCATCTCACGCTCCCCCCCTCCCCATTACATATCAATATCATGTATACACCTATAACTGATTAGAATACCTCACAGGGTAGGTACAAGTGGGTATCGGTACACGTACGCGGTACTTTTGTACATTATATTATAGCCGATCCATTCCGTTTCGAAAGTATATAAATATGTACATACACAATACCTATCGCCCTTTCAAATGATTAAGATCACTATAGGAGTTTTATTCTTCTCTCCTGCCTCTATATGTATGGTATACCTATATATTATATGTATTTCAATGTCTAACGTCACGAATAATAACACTGGTGGCACAGATCTGACGCCGCGTATGTATCGTATTTCACACGAATAACAAAATTTACCTCCTCTCTGTATGTATTTAATTATATATATATATGTTGCCTTACGAACGCAAATTAATCCGTATATGGTGTATAAATCTTATTTGATGGAGATGAACGAGGGACATTAATGCGTTAAAAAAAAAGAGCGCACCGAAGGCGTGTACACGGCACTTTTGGTGCTTTTCGTACATCAACCATGGAGCTCCTCTCTCGCCCGTCCGCAGAAATGCCGATTTAAATGAGTCCATCGAAGAGGAGGAGAAAGACGAATCTTCATAATTGTCTTTTCCCTTTCGTGCTCTCCTTGTGCATGTACATAGCCACACGTTTCCCAAACTCCGATCGCGCGCGCGCGTGTGTGTGTGTGTAAACGACAGCAGTGCAAATATGTATATATATATACATGTAAATGGCATTTAACCCGCGAGGGAGAGCAAAAAAAAAAAAAGAGGCGCCTCTACCATGTAGCTTCGAGTCTAATACATGAGATAACGGAGAAGAGGTCGAGCGCGAAGAAAGTCCCTTTCTCGCATTGCCGCACACACGTACATACATACACACGCGAAGGGGGCCTATACGAAGAATGTGTGTTGCGGCACCTTTATAACACCACCTTCACGCTATTCTCTCACGCATCTCGCGGTCTACGTGTACCTATATACACATAGGCCCTGTATATCATATACCGATCTCTTTTACGTAAGCTGCGGTGCGTTATGCGATTTCGCGCCTCCTACGCCCCGTGTATGTACGGGCATGAACCATAAGTGCAACGAAAGGATGGAAAAAAAAAAAAAAAAAAGTCTGACGCTTTAGGTGTACGTATGTAAATTTTTTTTTTTTTTTTTTTTCGCCAAGCGCGCGGGGAGCCTAATTGTACTCCCGTGGCGAGTGTCAGCTTGTATATACGTGTACACCCGCGCTAATTAATCAGCCCGCACGTGCAGCCTTTCGCGCATTCGACGGGATTAATTAAGCCACGGCTATTGTTTATCGCCTCTGGGCGCGGTGCACCACCTATACGTGTCGTATCGTGTTTGCGCCGTTGTTTGTAAGCATAATATTATATACACACATGCGCATTTGTTACTGTTTCTACAACTGTTGCACCGTGTGCCAAAGGGGAAGGAAAAATATACTAAACATGTAGGAGTCATTTATCGTGTATACGTGTATAAAAGAGAAAGTGATGAATCGAGTTTCGCTGCCGGTTGTCCTGTGGCATTATATATATACGTATAATGTACTTCATTGAGAATCAGGTGTCCGATTGATCGGCAGCAAATGTGGTCCGAGTCCACGAAAGCCTATACGCGAAATAATTTTGCTGCTCGAAAAATCAATCTATAATATAATAAATAAACAACACGGTGTACCTGCAGTACTTTATTACATTGTCATTTTACTTCTATTGGGTTATTGGGTGATGCAGTTCGAAATTTAATCGCTGAATATTTGCTATACGGAAATCGGTTGGACGCATCGATCGGGTACGTCATACTTGATTAGATTAGATTAATTCTTTATTAAAACCTTGTGGTATAACCACGTATGGTTCTCAAACAATTTACAGATAATCAATAGAATATATACGCCGTATTATACGCAAGTATATATATATATTACTTGAGTATACATATATACGCCGACAAAAATATGCGATCCCCAAGCTGACCCGTGCACCAAAATATGAGAAAATAAAAACACACACGCACACAAATGAATTGTAAATTTGTTCGCCTATACATTATGTAATGTTATGCCGTGGAATTCGCCAGATAACGACAGCAGTGTTGCTAGCGACGCTGGCCCTCGCCGGCGCCGTGCATCCCTTGGACCTCGTGGAGGACCTTGTGGCGTCGCCCTCGAGCCAACAGGAGAGCTCGCCGATCGCCCCGCCCCCGGTGAAGCTCGACAAGAACCTCCGGCGAGCTCTGCTCAAGGCCCTCGTGGACCTCGAGGCTGAGTCGGCCGAGCAGCACCACCAGGAGCAAGAGGACCAACAACAATCGACCACCAGCGGTGCCGAGGACAAGCCAACCGAGCGGCCGGCGGTCGACGAGGACCGGTACGACTTTTTCGAGATATCGAAGCAGAAGAGCGCGAGCTTCTCCTTCGACAGTTTCCCGGGAGACGACGAGCCCCCGAGCGAGGACAAGCTGCAGAACTCGAGCTTCGTCGAGAGCGACAGGTACGAGACGCGGAAGGACGAGGGCCCCAAGTCAAACAGCATACACCAGGACCCGCCCAAGGATTACACCAAGGGCGTGCAGGTGAGCCTTTTTCCATCTTCGTCTATTGTATGATGCGTGGGGGGAAAAGGGGCCCAATACAAAATGGCACTCGGTAATCACGACTCGCTGAATCGAGATACCGATCACCAGTACGATGGCGCGCGCGAGCCAAAGGGTACACGATTTTACTGTATTTTGTAAATTAAGATTTATGGCTTCACTCGTCATTTTTCTCCTTTTGCCATTGTGCGAGATTAAAATTTACAACTCCGGGATTACTCGACCATACAACGATTGTATCTCCCTCATCGCGTTGGTCGTGTGGTCACGCACGCAAAAAACCCTACGGTTACATCGTGGGAAGCACAATCACAATCACTTGGTGTAAAATGTACTTACCTATATACCTAATATTAAATTTTTTCACCTTAACCATAAGTGAATTATATCATTTCACGATATTTTTTTTTTTTTTTTTTTTTTTTTCTCCTTCTTGGCAACAGTACAAAAGGTATATTATATACAAAAGGTATTTACTGTAACGATGTGTTTAAATTCATCCTTGCGGTGTGAAAAAAAAAAACAAAAAAACAAAAAAAGATTCAATAAAAGTGTGATGTTCGCGTCAAAGTCGTTATAATATCTATCGTAGTATTAATACCACATGGGATTGTTAAAAGCGTGACTAGTCCCTTAACACTCGTGATGCTCGTGAGTCCTTTCTGCACATTCACGTCACATCGTGCACTCGTGTATACATGTATAAACATTTAGTAAAAAAAAAAAAAAAAAAAAAAAAAAAAAAAAAAAAAAAAAATCGCTTGCATTTCTCGAGTATCCAAGTCACGGGCCACGTCGAATATACGTGCTCGCTCGTATCAATTATACTACTGCATCCTCGAGGCGCTAACAATCCCCTGCATCATCGCGGCTTTACGTAAGTTTTTCCCACATCGTGGCGTGGCTTTTGCTTCGGTAACAATTCTCGCGTATCATACATGGGCACACAACGATCCGTACTTTTATAATATATTGAACGTGCCAGTGTGAAATATTGCGTAGAATCGAGAGTCAGCGCGCGCGCGCGTGAAACTATATACTTAATTAATAAAATCCTCGGCATTTGGGCGTAAAAAGGAGGATAAAAGTAAGCGCCGCTCATTTCGCGCGCGAGTTGTTTTCCATGGGTATACATACCCGCGGTGCAACTCAATCGAGTCTATTAATAACAAAATAGTCCATCATCGAGCGCAGCTATTATCGCACTTTAGGCATTTTCTTTCCCATAACTCGTCGCACACGGCTATTTTCTTAACCCCCGTCCATCACGGCACGCGGTTTCTCCTCTCCGGTTCGAGAGAAGAGGAGAAAACTTCGCTATGCGTCGTAAATACAATTTTTCACTCCCACCGAACTGTTGTTTTCCAACCGCCGGAGTGTACGGTTATTGTGTACGCGCGGCAAATTGCCGGTCATTAACGTTTGGACGTTTTCTCGAAAAAAAAAAAAAAAACGCGCAGCTGCTCCTGATTTATCGCCCCCACGCGGGAGAAGAATTTTACTTTTCGAGTGAAAACAACGCACGAGAGAGAATGTTAGGTATAGTGTCGTTGTGAAAACAAAGAAAATGTAAATTTAATTGATGAGTGAAAAAAAAAAAAAAAAAAAAATACGTCGATAGCCGTCCACCGCACGTGTTTTCCACTCTAGGTCCACCACGTGGTGTCCTCGGAGAAGGCCTCGGCGATCTACGAAACGAAGCCATCGTTGCCAGCCGAGCACCAGTTCCTCGAGAGCGCAGAGTCGCGCAACCCGGTCGTCCCCGGTTCAACCACGAGCAGCAGCACCAGCACGAGCAGCACCAGCCAAATCCAGAAGAGCGTGACTTTTGCACCGGTGGCGGTGGTGGAAACACTGACGGCGAGCGCGAGCGGTAACGTAGCCGCGGCCGCAGCCAACGCCCTTGTCGCGCCCCGGCCTTCACCGTCGACCAAGCTGGACAACGAGGCTGGCTCGAACAGCAACGCGACCAACCGAGCCCGAGCCAACTCTGGCACGAAGATCGCGAGCAACAAGCAAGAGTCGGCCGAGGAGGTGAGGATCTTCCAGGCGCCCCTCGTCGCCGCGTTCACCGTCCAGCAGGACGAGCGCGGAGTGCCCAGGAGCGTCGTGCCCCTGTACCGCGCCGCTCGCAACGGCACCGGCCACGAGCAGCCCCTCACCCTCCAGGAGCAGCTAGATTTCAAGCAACGCCTCCTCGAGAAGCAGCTCCTCCAGTTGCAGGCCCAGCAGCTCCAGCAGACCCAGTTCCTCATACGCCAACGCCAGGCCTACGAGGAGCAGCTCCGCCAGAAGCAGCAACAGCACGAGTTCTACCTCCAACAGCAACAACAGCAACAACAGCGTTTATTACTCCAGCAGCAGTTTGGGCCCCCGGCATTGCCTGGCTTCCAGGCCCAGCCACAGCTGAGCTTCGTCCAACAGCTGCCCCATCAGCAAAACCCGTTCCTCCAGCAGCAGCCGTCCTTCAAAGCGACGAGTGTCCAGCTCCAGCCCAGCCTGAGCCTCGAAGTGCCGAGTGTGGTGTCAGCCCCGCCCTTCCAGTCCAGTTCCCAGGTTTTGCGCGGCCTACAGCAACTACCACCCCAGCCCCAGCAATTCCAGCCGTTCAACGTTCACCAACAACTTGAGTTCCAGCAGCCGCCCTCCCTGGCTGCCCCGGTCACGAGGTTCAACCGGCAGGAGGCCTTCAACTCCGTGGGCAACTTTGGCTTCAACAGCTTGTTCCCCGTCAACGAGGACAAGACCGCGTTTAGAAACAACAACAACAACAACAACAACAAGCAACAGCACTTTGTTCAGGCCAGACCGGGGGTGCCCCAGCAGCAGCTGCCCGTGCAGGGTCATGGCTTCAACTTTGTGCCCTTCAGGCAGCAGCAGCAGCAGCAGAGGCCGTTCGGCCAAACGCCCACGACTCCGGCGCGCCAGATACAGGACCTCCTCTTCCAGTCGGGCATAGCCGGGGACCTCCAAGGTGCCGGCACGCGCAACCACCAGGAGGACATCAACATCGTCTCTAAGGTCCTGGCGCTCAACGTCGGGGCTTTGCCGGCCGCTGGACTCCAAAGGACGAAAGCCAACGGCTTCGCTGCCCAACACCTGCAGTTCGGTGTGCTGAAGAAGAAGTGAGGACGCCTTGGCGAGACATCTGATGCGAGAGAGTGATCGATTCTAGTATGCGGTTTTTTTTTTTTTTCTCTCTTTTTTTCCCCCCTCAGTGATTGTGCGCCGATTGTGTCCACCGAGCCATGATATTCGTTTTCTGCGCCGTGTGAACGCACGCATGTTGACCACACTTATTTTACCGTTTTGAACCTCGAAATTTTTTAACACAATTTTACTTCATTATTTGTATCGCTCAAGTAAACATAAGAAGAAGAAAAAAAGTAAATTACGTATAATGAACAAAGTGTGCGCGAGCGCATGACAGAGACAACATGAGACTTTTATAACATTAACAATAGCAATACATATTATTATTATTATAAATATTATTATTATTATTTCCAGCTAGCGGAGCTCGCGCTATGCTAAACGTAACGAAGAGAATACTGAGAGTTCGTATGCTTAAGTACTTAATGTTGTACATATATTCAAAGTGAGTTGGAGTTCCGTTGCCTTATTGTTCTTATCCGCGTTCACATTTATATATACATCACATGACTATAATTACCAGCAGCTTCACTGTCTCTCATCTTACGCGTTATCGTGGAAAACTTTTGTCCATTCATGGTCTATTATTTTTTTAAATATATTACTTGTTGTAAAGAAAAATGCATGTATACCATGGATTTTATTATAAAATGTATTAAGTTATTGCATTTTATTTTGTACTAATTATTGGGTATGAAAATATTCTTTTATGGGCGAAACTTTTTCCAACACCTATATTTTCCTCTCCCGTAGACTTAGTAACAATTAAACAGCCGACAAAAAAATATATCAAAGAATGAATTCAATAGCTAACACAATTTAATAACTGATTTACAAAACAACTTTCTCAGCTGTAAGAGTTTATATATATATATATGTATTTACGAAATGAAGAAACAAGTAACGTAACATTTTACGTTTAAAATATCTACTGTTTGAATAAACACTGTAATTAATTTTAATCAATTTTTATAATAATCAAATTATATTAAAATTAAGCGTCATGTTTTTGTATATGAATGTACGTATTTCGTGCATGTACCTGTAAAAAAAATCATGAAAACTCATCTGTTATGTATGTTATTTAAATAAATGAATTTTAACTCGATGAAAGTTAATCATATGATAGAGAGGGGCAGGGGAATGAGAATTAAAAAAAGGGGGAATATGACTGTCCCAAAACAGTATGACGTTTCCAAAATATGTGTTTTCTCCAAAACAATAGTAGTTTTCGTACCTGGTGGCGCATGTCTCCAGGGCAAGCACAAGGCTGGTGGTTGCCCTGGTTGGATGCACACCTGGTGCGAACTTTATTTTTCCTACCGAGGGCACACCCAACCGTCAAAGTAGCCCAAGGTAGGAAAAAATTTTTTTTCCTCCTCCGGGTGGTAAGTGAGGACCGAACGTACTTTCAGCTTTCAGTGCCTTTTTTACGGGCGGAAAGTGAAACCTCCAGTAAGTTTCAGGTACCATACGCAATCTCCAAGAGAGCCATGACTATATAGACCTCTTCTCCACGATCTCGCGCATAATATGCATCCGCCACCTTCCCCGCCTCAATTTTAATTGTTATCCGTCTTATCTGTAGGCTGCTAATGCAGCGACGCTCACTGTTAGTTTTTGTTCGTCAATGTACCGATTTTTCCTTATCCCACACCATTTTTCTTCCTGTCTGATTTTTAAGTGTCGAGTGTCGCAAAAGAAAGAACGTAATAACGCTATGATATACAAATAAAAAGGTATAGAACTAGATAATTTTGTCCCTCTGTGACGGAACATTGGGGTTGTCGAGTTTTTATACGATTGTTTATGAAAAAGTGATTGAAATATAACCATGAATACACCACACACTTTGTGTTAAAAGATGGTACGATTTTCGTTTGCGTGACAAGTATTTTATTGGAATGAGGTTTAACACATTTTTTGCCTTTTTTTTTTGTTTGATCTTATGTTTTTACCAATTCTATATACAAAAGTTGATTCGGCTGCAAAATTTGCACTTGTATCATTTCCTTGATTTTTCGAAGTACATTTATGACAATATGACACGCTTGTTATTTTAAGTGAAATATTGTATGATTGTAAAAGCGATAATTTGAATTACAAATCACCACAGTTTTTTTTTTTTTTTTTTTTCACTTTACAACTTATTTTTAATTTAATGTAACGAGGATATAAGGTATAAAGCGTTAAATTGTTGATAAATAAGGGTAAATAGTAACAAAGAGAAGAAAAATACCAAAAAAACAAAAGAAAGCGGTGTTAAAAAAACATAATAAAAACTCTCTTCCAGTTAAATTTTTTTTTTCTTACACATTCTAACATTCGTTCTCTTTTATTAAAGAATTAAAACTCTAATTATTCATTTAATAGAAAAACTACTCTATTTTCTATACTTCTTATGAATAGTAAGCATTGACAGTTATGCCAACAAGATACGAAATTTTTAATTAATACAATAAGTAATGACAAATTAATGTTTTCAGTGACATTAAATTTTCAACATTCGACGTCTGTGCTCAATCAAAAAATTTCGTTCATGTAAATTTTTCCTATCGCCATTTCATCTAGTGTTGTAGATAATTTCATTAAAAGCCTTCTTGATACTGCTTCGAATCCAATCTAGTTTGAATGACCTCTAGCTGTCGTTTTGCTTCACACTGTGGGAAGTTTTGAAGATCGTAGTACTGAGGTGCTATTTTCAACAACCAATCAGCTGAAATGGCAACGAAATTATTATAAACTACTTCAAATTACTTTTATCATTAAATGACGTGACACTTACGTTTAATGTCGGTCACTGTTCTGATATAATTTTTCGTGGTAAGCACAAACTCGTTATAAATAACCCAATCGGGTTTATGATCCAGACAAGTACTTGGGTGAAGTTGCACTATTTGATTATCTTTGATGGTCAAATAATGTCCAGTTCTTTCCAAATGCGCAACCTAAAATATTAATACGATTCGTAAGTTTGATTACTAAGATAGATTGGATATTTGCCACCACGGGTTATTACCTGCATAAAGAATCCATTGACAAGCGCTTTCCTGATATTTATGTAATAGTCCTTGGATGTAAAATCCGTGGACGTCCGTTTCAGTTGGAAACGGTCCATGATTCTACTCAGCTGCTGCCTAACATTGTCGCCACTTTTCAAAGATCTATAGTTTACAAAGTTGTCATAGCACCATTGCGGATCTTCCTGATCTATAAAAATATTTAGAAGGACGTTTATTTGTACGTTTTGAGGGAAAAAAAAAAAAAAGTTAACAAGTTTATTAATGCTCACTTTGCTTGAATGCATGGTACACGTTGAGTAATGTGAGATGATCGCCATCGATATGCGCAAAACGCATCTTCGCTTCGTCCGCAGCTTTCTTCGCCTCGTTAGGCCTTACAAAACACTGTGGGACTAATAACATGTCAATCCTCATTAGAAAAACCAGATGACCTGATTAAACTCTTAAATGGTACTTGAGCCCAATACGGGAATTAATCTAGTGACTACATAAATATATATATAACACTTACGAGACAAAGGCAAATCAAAATAAAGAAAAGAAATGCATCTTCTAAACTCATTTAAGAATCTTAGAATGTATAAAATTACAAGCAATCCCTGACGATTTTTCATACCTGACAACATAGCTGTGATGCTTAGAATTTCATTGCTGCAATTGTGATTGCAGGAGGCAATCAGCATTTTGGCTAGTTGTGGATCCAGTGGAAACTCGGCCATAATTGCACCCAAATCCGTTAGATTACCGTCATCGTCCAATGCAGCGAGATAATTCAACAGTTCCAATGCTCGCATCAACGTCTCTGGTGCAGGGGGATCCATAAAGTCAAAATGTACCTAAAGAATAGAAAAAAACAAAAAAAATCAAATGCTTGTCTTAAAATTGTGAAAAGTAAAAAAAAAAAAGTGTAAAAAAGCGCCAAACTCACCAGATCGTCGATGCCGAGTTTCTTAAGCTGTAACACAACGCTACCGAGATTCGATCTGAGAATTTCAGGATAAGTATTCTCCTGCATCTCGTTTTTGTACGCCTTCTCCGTATACAAACGGAAACACTTTCCTGGCCGAGTTCTACCGGCCCGACCGGCTCTCTGCTGAGCTGAGGCCTTGCTTATCGGCGAGACGAGCAAAGACTCCACGCGAATCCTGGGATTGTATACTTTCTGTTTGGCAAAGCCGGGATCTATGACGAAGACGACGCCGTCGATAGTGAGCGACGTCTCGGCGATGTTGGTCGAAACAACGACCTTCCTGCCGATGCCACCGTTCGATTTGGTGGGTGGCGCAGGCTCGAAGATGCGCTGCTGCAGATTGGGCGGTAGAGTCGAGTATAGCGGTATGCACTTGAGCTCTCCAACCTCGGGTCCGAGACTGTCCATCTCGCGCTTAATGCGCTTGCAAGCCTCTTCTATCTCTTCCTGGCCAGTGAGGAAGAGCAGCAGATCACCCGGTACTTCCTCGCACACGTGGATCTGGACGACGGTTCGAATGGCCGCCTCGAGATAGTCTCGTTCGGGCTCTGGAGTGTAGAAGATTTCGACGGGATGCGTTCTACCAGGCACATTCATGAGGGGCGCGTTGTCAAAGTATTGCTGAAACTTGCCAGCGTCAAGGGTAGCACTCATGATGACGAGTTTTAGATCCGAGCGCTGCTTGATGACCTCTTTCAATACACCCATGAGTAAGTCAGTGGCGAGCGTTCTTTCGTGAGCCTCGTCGAGCAGTATTACCTGGTATGCATCCAACATTGGATCCGACATGCCTTCACGAAGCAACATACCTAGGATGAATGAAAAAAAGGTTATTGGTACTGTAAGTACTGTTTTTATCATTCACAGCATACACGAAAATCAAAGAGACACACCGTCTGTCATGTATTTGAGGATGGTTTTGGCTGAACTGCAATCTTCAAAACGAATGCTGTATCCAACTTCTTGACCTAGAGCCACATCCATTTCCTCCGAGACTCTCTGGGCCACGCTCATTGCAGCTACTCGCCTCGGTTGTGTGCAAGCAACAGCCTTGTTTCCGGTGCTTTTTGAGTATTCCACGCACCATTGTGGAATCTGTGTTGTTTTGCCGGAACCTGTTTCACCTACAAGTACAATGCACTGGTGCTGGGCCAGCAGACGCATGAAATCGGCTCTGTACTCAAAGACAGGCAAAGTGATTCTCTTTTTGTAGAATTCATGGTAACGTGGCGTAAAAGGCAAGCCAGTGTATGGGTTTACATTAGCCTGATTCTTTTGCACTGCTGTAAATAATGGTGGTACAGCTGATATTTTAGTCACTGCTGCACCATCGCTACAAATAAAGAAAAATAAAAGATTTCAAGTTAATTTATCCAACGTGGTTTTATAAAATGAAAATTGAAATATTTCTATGCAACAGAACTATGTATGTGAGATATGAGAAATATTACCAAAATTACCAAGATCATACTTAGTAAGAGTGATCACATGAAAAAAAAAAAAGAAAAAAACTGGACTAAAAAGTTGAAGTTCAAATGTGTACAATCAGTAGGTGGGTTGTTGGGTAACATCAATGAAAATAATAAATTTGATACTTATAATTATTTATACATATATTTACACAAAGAGACAACTATGTTTCTCTGCTCCAATTATGAAGGCTTTAATTCACTCAGAGGATAAAAAATTTGGAATCACATGTGTATAAACAAGCTATATGTATGAATAAATTAACTTCATGTAGTTTAACTATGTTGTATGTCTCGCATCCAAGTCCTGCCTTTTGTACCAAGTCATGCATGGACTGTGTATAAGTAGTGTTTACGATTACACGTCAATATTAATTACTTAAATAATCCTTTCACGAGGAGCTCTTAATAAAAAAAAATAAAAAAAATCATCTTGAAAATAATAAGCACGTGTAAATGTTGTACAACTTACGTTCTCCTCTTGACGTACGGGTCGACAACTTCGATCCGCCGCTTAGACATGGCTTTTTCCTGTCGTTCAAACAATAATTTTATCCAATACTTGAATAAACTGACGACACTTGAAACAAAGGAGAGAAACAAAAAATAGGCTGCTCCGAGTTGTTACACGATGACGCCTTGTCACGCTCCGAGATTCAACTGTGGTTGCTGTAACTGCAAGACTGTAGAACTTTGCCTCCGACTCAATGGGGACACTGGGGATGACGCGAGTGTCGTGTCCCCGACTCCCCGAGACGATGATGTTCGCGACGACGGACGACGAACGACATACATACACCACGAGGCACGAGGGTCACAAAATGGCAAGCAAATAATCACGATGCTACCGCTGCAGTACGGATCAAGTCCGCCATACTTGTTTTAGATAATGTAACTGTATAAATACATACAAAGTGTATCAGTGTGTGTGTAAATTTAGAGAACTATACATATATATATATATGGAATTAATTTACTAGAGTATACTACATAGAAACTATTGGAGAGGTGGAGACTGCAAAGAGATTGTAAATTTGTAATGGCATGTACTCATACGATTTCCAAATCAATGTTCTATTTCCAAAGTGTAGTACTTAATAGTTGTAGACACGCCAATCGTAGAATTTATAGATTAATTGTAAAACTAGTTTAGTCAGTATGGAATGTTGGCAGCAATGGCAGCAGATTCCAATAGGTTCGTTTGGGGATTAGCTTGGATCGGAGCTCCGAGCTGATCCAAGCTAATCCCCAAACGAACCTAATGGATTTTTTAACAGGTAAGCATGGAAATTCGATTTTATTTTTCTATAAATACATATCTTTGCCTTATTAGAAAATTACTCTGTTTATACAATATTATATGATACACAGTACAAACGAATGTTTGTTAAAAATTCCATGATCCATTCGCAATTGGTCATTTCAAAAAATCTCTAGTTTAATACAGCGTGTATTTCATTTGAGCAAAGAGAAACAAATGTTTAAAAAACATTCAAGTTTTTCATAACGTATATGGCTTCGTTATCGCATCCAAATAATAATGTACTTCTGTCGATGTCAATGCTGTTCACAGGTTTATGTAGTGTATGCAATGAATTCACTTGTAATTTTCCTTTGTTTCCTATTGTACACAACCAATGGGTATCTGTAGTATCTGAGGACAAACGTTGATATAAAGCACACTAAAAATAGTTGACGATTTTGACTCTTTAAACATTATAATTTTACCTAATTGTAATTTTGAATGCTGAGAATTGTTCCAGTGCCACACTTCACCAGTGATTGAGCAAGTGTAAAGATTTTCCGGTCTGTCCGGGTGGAACGCGATTTCACTGATGCTATTGGAGTGAGCACTTAATTGACTAATTGGATATGTTTTATATCGTAGATCCCAGACTGTAAGACTTCCATCTCCTGCACCAGCAACAACTATATGTTTTTGCGTGGGATGATGGGCAATACACATTGCTTCTGTCTGCAAAAATTTAATTATGATTATGAAGCAATTCATTAGTTAATAACAAATTGGGAAAAAAAAAAAAAAAAAAAAAAAAATTACTTTTGCTTGTTCTGAAAGCATGACAGTGGTCGTTGGTGCATCTTGATCGCTGCGCAAGTCCCATACTTTCATGTGTCCCCTAATGTTGCCAGTAAGAATTTCATTGTGCCTCAAAAAATCAACACAATACAAAGAACAACTGTCAGCATTATCTAGAGAGAAAAAAATCAAGATTTTTCATGAAGCAATCCATCAATATTTTACTACTTAACTAATTAATAAAACCTACCAATGCTCCTAACTGGGTCATTTTTCTGTGCTGTGAGAAAATTTATCCTGCCATCTTCCCCAACAGTGACAATATCCTGCCCAAACGTTGCTAATGCTGTACAAGAAACTGATTGTCTATTGCTGTTGTGCAGTAAAAACTATTATAAATATCAATGAAAAATCGTAAGATTGCCAGAAATTGTATCAACTTACTTTAATCTGTGTAGTTTGTCCCAAGAGTGATGTTCTTTAATCTCTGGATAGGGAACATCTTGGAGTTTCATTATTTTAGCATAACCGGCTGAAGATGAGAAAACAAACGTATCATAACTAATAAATTTGATTTCAGTAACATCGCCCAAAACTAAACTTGAAGATATGTTTTTAGGGTACAATTCGTCTTCCTCATTTTTTTGAAACATCCAGTAACCAATTTTATTGACCTGAGTGATAAGCAACATAAATCTTGAGTCAAAAACATGCGATTATTATAGATGCAAGTAATAAACACTCCAGAGAGAATAATTAAAGAATAATAATAACAACAAAGCAAGTATTTAACAAATTAATCAAACTTTTGATTAACAAAGCACTTGAGGTTATAGAACTCCATACCGGGTCGTCCCAACTGCCGGTGACAAAATATCTGGCATCTTCGAAATTTTCGTGCTTAAACCTGACCTTGTTGATTTTTTCCGAGGCAAAAACACACTGGACGTTTTCCGTCATATTAATATATCAATTTTTGATTTGAAAAAAAAAAGAGGGTGCAACAGTACAGAATAGAGTATAGGCGGGATCACACACACACGATAATTTTTTTCACTTGATCATTTCGAACGTTTCTTCCTTGGCGCGTGTGTGACCTCCGCGCGCTCGAGTTTTCAAATTTCGATTGGCATCGATAATGAATCGATTTATATCAAAACGAATCGATTATCGATGGTTTTGAATTTTCAAAAGCAAAAAAAAAAATAAAAGCACGCACAAAGACAACAAAATAAAGTAAGTGTACGATTTATATTTAGAAAAGGGTAAAAAGACATAAAGTACAGGGTGATGCTTTTCTCGCGGTTTTCGGCCTCTGTTTACCATATTATTCTCAGTTCTCGATCCGAGAGGGCAACGTACTCACTTGACGGCTGTACGATTTCGGAGTTGGACAAGATGTTCAAAGTGAATTTTGTCATGTGTTTTGTACTCACGATTGTTAGCTCGGACAATAGCGTCGATGGCCCAACCGAAGACCCAATCGCAAAAAATGGTAAGACCATCGAAAACGCCGTTTTGTTACAGAAAAAAAAAATGAATAACTTGTTTTTCGCGTTTTATCGCTACAATCTTAGATCATATGATTTAGATGGCGAAACAGATGCGATTCGTGTAAATTTAACAAATGGCACGATTGTTTCGGAGCTGCAGCACACTATATGCAGCGTAAAAACCGAAGACGTCGTGGCTAGTGCACAATCCACTGTTTCAAGAATATTTACCGGCGTCTGCACGTCAGGTGAGACACATTTTAAATATATAATCCTTCCCCCCCCCCCATTATTTATTGTATGAGTATACCATACGGTTTGATATTGTTTTTCAAGTACCATATAGTCCAAAGTTCTATCGTCGATTGAAAGAGATGCATAAGTAATATTGTTAAATAAGAAAAAAATTGTGCTTATAAAATTTCGCCGTAAGATGACAATAAACAATAACGTGTCAGTATTGAATAACTTTTTTTCTGCCGTACTATGATTCAATATTTTTTCCTCTTCGCCGCTACACTTTACTTTGTGATTCGTCATTCAAAATCGATGAGAAGGAAAGTGGTGCCACTTGTTGCCGCGTAGGTGGTAATTGAATTGTTGTGTAGAGGCTTGGTCTTGCTAACACAAAAAAAAAAAAAAAAAAACCGCACAATATACCGATTTTTGGAAGATAACGAAAAAATTGGCCATTTAATATGCATAATCGTGAAAGCAAAAAAAAAAAAGTAAAGAATCAGATGTTCCTTGCTCCCATGTATGTGATTGTTTGAGTGTTACAGAAGAATTGACGAGAGCTTTTAAAAGTATGGAAAAGACGTTTCTGGAGCATCTGGAGAAAATGCAGCGAAATTTGGTGGATTTCATCGAGACAAAGTTTCGTCATCCCGTGCCTGAGAAGAAAACCATCAAGAATTCAAAATCCTCTCCCTTCATAACTGTCGATTATCTATTCGAAAGAAATATTTTTAAAAATTACACTTGATTCATTTTATTCGGAGAACTGTTTTTCCTCTTCACGTAGCAGAAGAAAAAGATGAGGGAATAAAAGTACGCTGTTGATGTTACTTTTTCGACATTGTGAATTTTTATTTATAAAATATATACTAATGGCATGTACTCATACGATTTCCAAATCAATGTTCTATTTCCAAAGTGTAGTACTTAATAGTTGTAGACACGCCAATCGTAGAATTTATAGATTAATTGTAAAACTAGTTTAGTCAGTATGGAATGTTGGCAGCAATGGCAGCAGATTCCAATAGGTTCGTTTGGGGATTAGCTTGGATCGGAGCTCCGAGCTGATCCAAGCTAATCCCCAAACGAACCTAATGGATTTTTTAACAGGTAAGCATGGAAATTCGATTTTATTTTTCTATAAATACATATCTTTGCCTTATTAGAAAATTACTCTGTTTATACAATATTATATGATACACAGTACAAACGAATGTTTGTTAAAAATTCCATGATCCATTCGCAATTGGTCATTTCAAAAAATCTCTAGTTTAATACAGCGTGTATTTCATTTGAGCAAAGAGAAACAAATGTTTAAAAAACATTCAAGTTTTTCATAACGTATATGGCTTCGTTATCGCATCCAAATAATAATGTACTTCTGTCGATGTCAATGCTGTTCACAGGTTTATGTAGTGTATGCAATGAATTCACTTGTAATTTTCCTTTGTTTCCTATTGTACACAACCAATGGGTATCTGTAGTATCTGAGGACAAACGTTGATATAAAGCACACTAAAAATAGTTGACGATTTTGACTCTTTAAACATTATAATTTTACCTAATTGTAATTTTGAATGCTGAGAATTGTTCCNAAAAAAAAAAAAAAAAAAAAAAAAAAAAAAAAAAAAAAAATAAGCCAATAACTGACAAGTATACATACCTATTATGCTTTTCACCGCGACAGCGAGAATATTTTTAAAAATAGACAACGGAAAAGGTATGATTCGTCTAATCATGACGATCGAAAGGAAAAACAATAATAAATAACGAGGGGTAAAAGTGTGCACATACGTGTATTATGTAAATAGGTGTGGGCTTCGTGAGGATAGCCATCAATTATTCAAAAGGGCACGTCGATCCCCCTCGGCAAAGCCTCCGGTCGTGGTCTCATCATTTGCCGTATGTCGGTGGGCAGCGGAGCATTGTTCTTGTTGTTTCTGGCGGCGGCTGCGATGCGCAAAAGCACCCTATAGGCCGGAATCGTCCGCTGAAGGTAGTCGTTGTTGATGTCGTTGAAGCCGTTGTAGCCGCCGGCCGGTGCCGAGTACGACGAGTCGCGCTTTTTGCCGCAGCCTGTGTTGCATTGTGTCAGGAAAATCGAATGAAAAAAAAAAAAAAAAAAAAACAAAAAACCCCAACAAAAGGGACGGAGCAAGGGGGTAACTTTGTTTCCCCGTGTTTTATCCACGCGCTGCAACGGTACTGTATAGTATAATGCAATAACGCCGTAACGATGGTTGTCAGCGATTTTTTTTTTTTTTGTTTTTTTTTGTTTTCTAAGGCATCCCCACTCGTATGCCCGTGATCTACATTAGATGGGCCACGTATCGGCAAACCCGAGAACTTTGTGTCAATTTAAAGTTTTCCCCGTTTCCCTATATACATATACTATTGTCTTCGCGGGTATATATAACTACACTGTACGTAATGTGTATCTACACGTGCAGGCGAGATGTTCGGCCAAGTTTTCCGACGAACGAGGACCATTTGCGCTCGCGAGATTCAACGGAGAAACAAATTGTTGCAGTTAATTTTTCAAATAGAGAAATGTCAGAAAAGTTTTTTTTTTGGGGGGGGGGGTAGAATTTTAATTGTCTCGCGTGTTAATTGAAATACACATATAGGTATATGCGAGGGAGCATATAAACATGTTGATTGACTTGATCGACGAGATAATACGTACCAGTGAAAGCGTTGCAAAAGGGCCTTTTCATCAGCACCGGGGCCGCACTTTCGTCTGCCCTCGATACATCGTACAAATCGCCGACGATGATCATCAACGAAAGAATCAACTGTAAGATCTGAAAAACAATTTTCAAAATGAATCAAGGTGGAGGTATACGAGTCATTGGCACGACTCGAGAATCATTAGCTTCCGGTGTAATGGCACGGGGCAAAAGTTAATTCGATTGCAATTTTTGCGGGATAATCTCGATGAAGGAAAAACATCCGCGTTGGCAGGATAAATAATTCACGTGCTGTGTAATGCCAACCGATGGAAAACAAGGGGGGGGAGGGAGAAGAGCGTATGCTGGAAGAGCTTATCAACACGTTTATTGTGCTTTTTCCACATGGGGCCAAATTAAATGACGATACTACGTGTGGTGAGACTCTCTTACCAGGAGAATCGGAAAAACGCGTTTGGGGCCGAGATGTACTTTGTTTCTATTCATATTTAATACCATACAATATCATTATTATCTTGTGGTAGATTATGCGGAAGAATCCTCTGATATTCGCAAGCTTTGTTGATTTAAACTGAACATCCTATACAATAAAATATTTAAAAAAAAATAAAAAAAAAATAAAAAAAACATGGGTAATTTAATGTATGAAATAACAGGTGAAAAAAAAAAATCTAAATTTTTTATTTCACGAGCTTGCAGAGCCGAATGAATAAATGAATGAGAAAAGCTTCAAGGAGATCGATGCATTCCATATGCATGTACGGATTTTCTGCACGCGCCCCTTGTAACTTGCTTCAAATGGCTTGGGTATACACACAGTATCGCATTTAGATAAAGTCATTGAAGCTTTTTCGAATAAAGAGCACGATTGTTTCTCGAATACCTGTAGGTACTTGCGTGGCACGTATATTTGGGTAACCACGAGGATAAGCTTATGTAAATCTATTTTTTTTTTTTTTTTTTTTTTTTTACTGTACATAAAACACGATCTTAAAACTACGAAAATTGTAACTTTCAAGCTAAAACTTGGGCGCGTAAGTGTAACACTTTTTTTATTCACCTAATGATTCGCGAAAAACCTTTGATCCTTTCTACGTGGGTAAAGGTATACCGTGACGTCGTCGGCGGCAGGTGTCGGCACGTGAGACACACCTCACGTTTGCGAGTGTAATGACAATCGTGTCATTAATTTTTGCATCGGCTCGGCCATTATTTTGAAAGAGCATCGGTGCATTTGATCTTTCGATTGACTCGTCGAAAAAGTGACCTTTTAGCGCGTTCTGTTACATAAATCGTTAATTTTACGTGGCGGTGTTGAGCTTTGCGCGGCTCAATGAACGAAATCCTCGCCCGTTCATTAAAAAAGAATAATTGAGTAGAAAAAAAGAAAAAAAAAAAAAAAAGATCTTTTTCGATTGTCTCTAGAGGATATTGGGTCTCTAATTTTCGGATAGGCATTGTCGTACACCTATACTCCAGAAATTATACTTAGATTTTCATGATTTTTTGATAAATAAATTTTTTAATATTTATCTTTCCTTCGCAACACGGATGCTTTTAATTCAGTAATCTATTTCGCCCAGAAACCACTATCTACCAAAAATAAACCAATTAAGTGTATTTAATTAAGTACACGTTAAAATATGAGCGTCAAACGTATATGCGCGAGTTTGCATCATTAATGAATTAAATTTACATGATTACACTCAATGTATCTCGATGCGTTGATGCACAATGAAATAATTTCATAAACATCACAATCAAAGTAATGCATCTCGTTGAATTGTATTAATTTTCGCAACAACCAATTAAATATACATACAATGATTATTTCTCACTTTACAAAAATCACGTAAAAACTCGTCCCAATAACATTTGTTTGTTTACCTTGTCTAAACAAAAAACAAATACCCTTGTACCTATAAAACAAAAAATCACTCAAACATTCGTATTGTTTTTTCTTTCATTTTGGGTAACATTAATGCATGACTACTACAATGAACCATCGCACGAAAAAAAAAAAAAAAAAAAAAAAAAAAAAAAAAAAAAAAAAAAAAAAAAAAAAA